ACAGTAACGTTTATAAAGTAAATGATCACATATAAACTTGTGTAGCTTCGCAAGAGTTCATCTTGAAGATAGGGGAGGTGACGATCAGCTATACGACATACTCAGTTCAATCTCCCCAGGTCCATATATCCAGGTACAACACCACCAAACGGAAAAAGTAAATCATCACATAACGCAACCATCATTTGGCAAGAGAAAGAAACATTTCCAAACTACGTTCGACCTCAAACCCCCCCCCCCCAAACATCAAACAACGCCCTAGTTAAACCAAAAACTCACACTAAAACTCGGCGTAAGACTCCTCACATAATGCCACCACCCCACAGGAAGATACAAGCACTCGCCCGGCCCCAGTATCCCCTCTACAAACACCGCATCTTGAAATCCGGGAAAACGTTGTCGGAACTTTTTCTTCTTCTCTTCATCATCCAGCGCGACCCCCATCACAGGCTTCTCAAACCAAGATAACCTGGGAAAAACCTCCATCGCCTCATCCAGATCAATCTCACTCGTATTACTCATATCCACCCCACACTCATCCACGCTCCTCGGGTACAGACGCTGCGTTTCGCTCGGAGCGTAGAGGCGTACGTACTTGTATCCTACGACCTGCGCGAGGATATTGTGGTAAGGGTCTGTGTGTAAAGGAGATACGGTACCGGCGGGTCCAAACCAAGCGTTTAGCAGGGGTTCTTCTAGTTTAGGCACGGGCTTGATGTGGGTGAGGCGGGGGGATGGGGCGGGGTCGGTGTAGCAGTAGTCTGGGATGGTGATGTCGAGGCGTAAGGAGGGGATTTGGGCGAAGAGGTCGTGTTGGGCGAGGTAGCCGACTGAGTTTGCGGTTGAGTCTTGTGGTGGATGGAGGGGGTTGTTTGGATTGTGGAGCATGTAGGTTTCCATGAATTCACGGAAGGTAATGATGCGTTGACCCCAGCCTTCGGCGGTGTAGCTTTTTCCTACCTCGACTGGGATTAATCTTCTTCCACCGAGAGTCTGTCTCAGAAGATAGTCTGGATTCGCCCATGGTCGCTCGCTGAGTGCAGGCCAATGTTGTATTGCATCCTTGATTATGCACGGTGTGTGGGTTTCCGTCGAGCCAACTTTCCTTTGAAAAGCTTCCAGACTGAGTTCTTTCATTCGTTGCAAAGGATGTGACAGGACTGGTTCCGGATTGGGAAGCTCTACAGGAAACCTTTCTGGGATTGGCGAGGATTGACAGGGCAAGGATAGCTTTTGTCGCTTTGAGGGGCGTTCCGAGCTTATGCCGTTGGTTGGGTACACCCGATCCAAATCAGCTCTCAATGCTGCAAACCATAGTTCCACCAGCTCTTCTCTGGAAGGTGCACCAGCAAGTATGAGGGCCATATCTAATGATTTCACAACCTCATCAATCCAGTCGCTCTCTGTCGTGCCTTGTCGCTGTTCCTCTATTCTGCCATCTACCCGCTTTAGCACCTTCCATAGAGTCGCGTCTGTATACAATCTCCGCCAACAAGTCTTCACTTCTTTGTAAGGAACATCGTGCAGTTTCTGATACGCAAGCTTCAAGCCGAGCTCAGGATCCTCGGGAAGAAGTGCGAGTGCAGCACGTCCACATTCGCGGATGGGGTCAGACTTTTGCGGGGTAACAAGTTCCTGACGGGTTAGTTGGATTATCTCTTGGAGTGTAGGTGCATCATTGTTCATTTCTGATGAAGCGCAGCACAGTTGTAGACGACAACGGTATAAGTGAGTGATTGTGGAAAGCTTGTATTGCTAGTGGCACGAGCTCAGGCCATTTACTACTTTTTCCGTGCCGTTGACGAGCCAAGACATGGCCAAAGTACCCGAACGCTACCTGGGCGTTAAAGTTTATTAGGCGGCGTTTAGAGTTGAACCCTGGCTTCGGTAATCGTCGTGGACTTTGCGCCTTAGCGCAGACCCATGTCGTGTCACGTTAAGTATAGCATGCTGCAGGTATGGAGACCAAAGTGCCGAAGATGCATATTAGATCCATTTATAGGCCAGTGGGCTGCCAGCTCGATGCAACTCGCAGCGGTGACTATGTAATACGATTATTGTACACGAGCCTTGTGACTCCCCTCCAAACCGAGACTCCCACTCGTAGTCCATTCCTGACACACGAGGTAGCGCCTGTGAAGCCGTCATAACCCATCAATCGTAGACCCATAAACACCAGTCTGAGTAAGAGGGATATCGAACATGTGGAAAAAAAAGAAACCTTCAAGCAGTCATGGAAACAATAAAGTAATGTGCAGGCTATGCAAATGAAAAGGCCGCTGAGGCCGGGGTATCAAACAAGAGGAACATTAAGGATAAGAGAAATGGAGGTTATCACCCAAGCAATCCACCAGCATCCTGCAACGCAGGCGCATCACGGCTCTGATTTGTAGTGGTACGCTGAAGGGAGGTAGCAGAGGGTGCGGATGAAAGCAAGCCTCCAGGATCTTGTAGAGAAGGCACATCATAACTCGTTCGTGTTGAGCGTGTCGATGTGCGGTGTATAGGCGCGTACCGAGGAGCGACTGAAGGGCTGGGATTTGAAGTTGGAGTGGACAGGGATTCTTCCTGCTCACGGTGTCTAGGCAGCAGACCACCCAGGTCCTGCAGCTGTTGGTTCGGCCGGCACGACATTTCGAGGTCCTCGGAATGCTGAGAGAGCCGGGAGTTTCGTCGACCTTGTGGAAGAAACGCTCGCCCGGCCGACATGATTGAGTTTGAAGCTCGGGAGCCTCTTCTGGGTTGCGTCGCGAAATCGTGAGCAACCACAGAGTCTGTGGGTGAAGGGGTTGCTCCTGGTTGTTCCAGTAGACCGCCCACATCAAACCACGATACCCGTCTGCCGCCGCGGGGACTGGGCATTGGGTCTCGGATGTCATCAACCCCCGAGTGCGAGCGGTCGTCACCATGTGATACACTACCCTCTTCGTCTGGAAATTTCCAGTTGGTGTTTACAAAAGGGCCAGACTGCCTTGAAGACTGCAAGAGGTCAAGGTTTGCCACTGGAGCCGGTCTGGGTACGCTTGGCGTTTTTTCCAAGAGCTCGGGCTTGGTCCTATAACCCAGTGATCGTGCAAGGTCTTCATCGCTGCTGCGGGGCTGGTCTGTGAAGCGTCGCGATGACCCTCTACGCTCGGTGCTGTCAGTAGTCGAGGGCGCCTTGAATTTTGGTTTCTTGACACCTCGATCGCGAAGGAATGATCCTAGGATGATTGCGTTGGATACGATGGCTGCAGCCAGGATTTCAGAAGAGGCAAACACAGTACGGAATTGCTGAAGGCCCTTCTTCTCAATGACTAGAGGCATGCGAGCCCCGGTGACGATGATGAGACCAAGCGATAGAGAGAACAGTGCCACTAGTGAGATCTTGCGCTTCAAAGGCATGCCTGAGCGAACGATAATAGGAATCGGAAAGGCAATCAGGAGAATATCGGTGACGATATCAGCAATGCCCATAGTGAGGAGCTGGGCGTAACCCTGACGACACTGCGGACCCGGATCGGGAATGACTTGCCAGTAGTGAGTGATTGGACGACACTCAGTAAAGGTAGCAATTAGAACCATGAAAAAGGTAACGACGAGGAATATGCGAATACCGCGCAGTCCCCATTCGTATCCCTTTTTCCAGAAGCGCTCTGTCAAGCGCTTGAGGAACTCTGAAACAGTGAACTTGGCCAACCAGATGCTATAGAGGCATTAGTTATGCTATGGATGAAAAGGTTGGCGATACGTACAATAGCGCGTAGAAGATCCTGGCTGCAAGGACCATGCGCGAGCCAATTTCTCGATGATGAATTCGAACTGGGTCTGTCAAGTTGGTAATATCGACATTGTTTGTGCCGTAGATCAAGACAACGTGCACAAAGCCCATGCGCGCAAAGAGAGGAAAGATGCTGAGCGCCATGACCTTGTCTTCGCGGAACAGGCGTTCATTGCGAATGTAGCGGCCGGACAAGCGGACGCCTATGATGACAGCGGAGAAAATGGTGCACCACCAGCTGTACAAAAGCGTGGGATTGTTGGTCAGGCGAGTCCGGGGCTCTGGGGCAGAAGGGCTGTACAAATTGCGCGGTATTATCATGATGCTGTGGAGCAGTCCTCACAGACTCTCGCCTCCGCAGAGGGGGGAGCTGTTTGGAGGTCGCGTGCTCAGTATCGATTGTGGGCGAGAGCGATGGCGGTGACGGATGCGGGAGTGTGGGCTGAAGGCGCATTGACCATTTCGGTATTGGGGTGACGTTGGTGGAGTACCGAGGTCCCGGGAGCGCGGAGCGGGTATGTTGCGAGTGAGTGAGTGAGTGCCAGGCCAAAGGCGGTAGTCGGGCAATGCTGAAGACGTAGACGATGGGCAGCAGAATGGCAGACGAGGATGAAGAGGAAGGAGAGGCAGCAGCAACAGCAGCAGGGCGGCAGGTGACGGGGCTGAGGGTCGGAGGTGTGCGTGATAACCCAAGCAGGCGCAGTGCAAGTGAGTGGGTCGTTATCGCAACGGCAGAACTTGGCCAGGATTCGGAGGCACGCCACAAAATCACTACAGCCCGCGTCTGTGGTTGAAAGCGCGCACACTGCCTGATGCCGTGCGGTGCCAATGTTCCCCCACCGAGTTTGGATCCAGATCCCGGCGAGTGCTGATAGGCATGGGTTTGGCGTGTCGGGGATCAGTGGGATGGCATGCGAGGCGAGAGGCTGGGAGCGGGTTGGGACGTGTTGGTGCAGTCAACGGCCGTCTTGTCTCGTGTCGTGTCCGGGTTTTGTCGTGTGGTCGAGTTGCCCCGAAGTCAAGGGCCGTGGTGTCGGTCGTTTATATCACATCACCCCGGAGGCCACCTGCATGGTGCTAAGTACTGCTACAGCTACTGGGTACGACGAGGGCGCCATGGCGCTTGTAGGCTCCGTCTGCAGACAATGCAGATGGACGACTGGGGCAGGCTGACGTGGAGGCGGGGGGTCAAACACGCCTCCGACCTGGAGGCAGCGGGCGGTGACGGGTTGGGGGCTCGATGGAGTATTGGCTCTCAGGCGCGGCCGCAGCGCCAATTGGGGTAGAGGACATAGTCGCAGCAACCTACATTGGCGGCACGGAGGCTTGGGAGAGAGCTGGACCACGACAAGATCCGAGGGCCGGGATCGGGGTGTGCCGGGCGGTTGGATGGCTGATGGGGGGGAGCGTGAGTGTGCGCATTATCGCATCAGCAAGTCGTGTTGTCATTGCGGGTTGGCTATGGCTACGCGTGGCGCATCTGCGCAGAGAAGCCGGGAGGGTGATGGCGACGGCGACGGCGACGGCGGTGGCTGCGGCGAAGGCGCTTGTGCTTGTTGCGTGAGGCCCCTCTCGTCTCGTTTACCCCCCCCCCCCCCACCCCACCTCCATCGCTGGGCAGTCGCGTGGGAGGGAAGGGCTGCCCTGTGCGCCTGCCTGATGCGACGATGAATGAGACCCTGACGGACCAACTGAACTCTCCTCCTGCCCCGGCGCGGGCCTTCTGTCGGCTGTAATAATCGCCCGAGCCAGGGAAAGAGAGGAATAAAGTACTACCGACGATGGAATAGATAAACTTGATGAACCGCGATCGGAGCCCCGGGCACCGAATCTCGCTGTCTGTCGTTGACGAGCTCTTGGGGTGCCTGAGAACCCCGCGCGAGTTGGCAGTGCTGACGGTTCAGGGTGACTTCCCCCTGAGTGTGAGTGTTGTTGTGCCTCTATCCGCACCTTCCTCTCACAGACGATTGCGATTGCTGCCATTGCCGTCGACGTATCAGCGCCCACACCATTGCCGTCGTGGCAAGGCGGGGGTCTGCTGTCGGATGAGGAATAACTTGCCCAAAATCCCTCAACCCGTCTGGTATTAGTGCATGGATATAGCTTACACAGTGCTAAGTATACATACTACATACATGTAGTACATTCATGTGTACATGTACTATGTATACATAAGCACCGGACATGCAAAGCAGGTGACAGGCGAGATGGTGATCTACGCAGGGGGACGTGCACCTCGTGCCTGGTGGACGAAACCACGGGCAGGCACAATCCACGCGTACCTGCCAAATCACGCCCAAGCATCAAAATCAACCCAAATACACAATAGTACACATACAAACACCCAACGTATCTCGTCCAAGACCAGGCGTGCAGCAAAATCTATTTCAACAGCGTCATGTGTGCACAATATGCCATGGCGTCATGTGAAGACATAGCCGTACTGCTAAGAGCGTTGGGCCCGTCTTTCACATGTGAAACCGCCCATGCTTGGGGCTGGCACGTGAGCACCTTCCGTCACTCGCCCACAAGCAAATAGCAGCAAGCTCTGCAAATGCGACTGCAGACAGCGCGTGCGGCTGGCACTTTGCAATGGCAATGACGAATGGTCTGCAGAATGAAACCTGTAGCTGCTCGAGGTACGTCGTCCAGGCCCGCGGAAACAAATCACAGCAGGCCCAGCAAGTTCCATGTGGAGCCATATGACGTTGGAGTGAACGCCCACCAAACTGTGCACACGACAGTCTCAGAACAAAACCAACCCAGCTCCTCCGCGATCTCTCCTTTTCTCCTCAGACCCCCTTTCGACCTTTCTCCTCTCCTCTGAAATTAATACCTGCCTGAAACTGCAAATATCCCCCCCAAGCAATGTCCGGAGAAGCCCCACGTGTGGAACTCAGCAGCACAGATCTCGATTTCGACCTTACCGCACCCGTCAACCAGAAGCTGTCCCAGATGAACTCTGACGCTGCCCCGCTGCCCAACGGCAACGCAGACCACAGCCTGCCCAACGGCGCGGTCCAGACAAACGGCTCTCTCCTAGATTGTAGGGTGAGTGGCACAGAATGACCTCGACCATTTGCCGAGACGCAAGCTAACGCCATACATCACAGTCTTATCTGCGGCCCGCACCACACCCGAATTCCTAACCTGACACACACACAGCTGCCTCAAACGCCATCAACGCCGCAAACAACCACTCCAGCGTGCAGAACATTAAAAACACCGTCATGAACGGTAAGGTATGTACACTTGCCCCGCACTTTCCGCTTTGCACAACCAGCTCACGCCCCATGCAGTTTCCGAAGGTGCCCGCACGCACACGACCAGTAGCTAAATTCCGCAGGACCCGTTGCACAGAACGTCAAGGCAGAGGGCGCAAAGACCCGCGATGAGTTCGCAGATCTTGCAAACTCAAAGACCATTCCCGACGAGAAGACGGCGACTGGTCAGAACCTAACTCGTAAGTCCACGAAGAGCTCTCACTGCAACTGCACAGCTAACCACGCTCAGACTACCACAGCATGTTCTACCGCCTCCTGAGCTGGAAGAACCCCCGCGCCACCGCCATCGCCTTTGCCAGTACCGTCGTCTTCATCTTCGCCTCACGCTACCTGAACCTGATCCGCTACATGTTCAAGACTTCGTACATGGTTCTTGGTGCTACTGCTACTGCCGAGATCGCGGGGCAGCTGACCATTGGACGTGGCCTCACCTCCCAGTTTAGGCCACGACAGTACTTCACCATTCCAAAGGCCTCGCTCGAGCGCATGACGGATGATTTCGAGCAGTTCATCAACTTCTTCGTCATCGAGTCTCAGCGTATTGTCTTCGCCGAGAACGTCTACGTCACTATTGGCGTAAGTAGAGCTCTTGAACTGCCGCTGCACATGCAAGATGTTGTGACTGACTTGTCCCTACTAGGCCTTCTTCGCATTCCTCATCTCGTACTTCCTGATCAAGTGGGTTCCTCTCTGGGGCTTGGCTCTGATCGCGACGCACATTACCTACCTCGGTCCCCTCATCTACATCAAGAACAAGGACGTCATTGATGCTCAGTTGGAGAAGGGCTACACCATTGCCAACCAGCAGGCTCAGCAAGTCAAGGGTCTCGCCAACCAGCATGCTGAAAACGCCATGAAGACTGTCCAGGGCTACACACAACAGGCTACTGCTAAGGCTCAAGAGCGGGTCAACCAGTACCGTGGACGTTCCACTTCGCCAGAGGTCAAGAAGCAGCCCTTGCCCAGCGTCCCCAAGCACGAGCCCATTGCCGAGTCATCTTCTGAAGAGGAGGATGATGAGCCAGTTGCACAGGCTGCCAAGTAAGCTGTTCCATTGCGACCATTGTACACTGAGTGTCTTGTACGTTGCGTGCTTACCCCGAAACTGTTTGCGCGTCCAACCTTTGAACATGCTACGACCACTCTCTCGCACGCACTCACAGTCTGGATGACTGCGGACGAAATACGGACGGTGCCAGTTTCGACATTTGAGAAGCCCGGAAATTGGAAACAACGCTGGCCACTGTACATGCCCTTTCTCAAGAACCTTTGTTTTTCGTGTTTTTAGTCTAGCGTGTCAAGTATTCCCTCTGCATTCACCAGCTTTTGTTTTCACGGCCTTGTTTCTTGTGGGTGGGATTTGGGCATGATAATCATGGCAACATGGGAGTTTTAATCAAAATTGTCCTTTAGTGATTGTCGTGTGCCCAAAATGGTGTGAATTATGCGTGACGGCATTCGGACTTTTTGGTGGTGGTGGTGAATATGTGTCTGATGCCCCGCTTAATAGTCGTAATGCCTGAATGTAAGTATGAGAACGCATGTAGTGCTGACGTCTCAAACATAGCCTTGATGCAGACGCGCAATCTATGCCTGAGCAGAAGGTGTACCTGTCCTTTTACATGTTTTCCTCGAAGAACGCCCATGCAGCGTAGATCCGGGGAATGTATGCAGGCTTGTCTAGCACAATCCATAGTCTGTGCCAAGTTGTAGATATACCTGGATGGTATGTATGTACTTGGGTGGAGAGTGGTAGATCGGCGGCTAAGTGGAACCTGGCCAGTGCACAAGGCCACCGATTTGTTGCGTCAGTTTCAGCACAGCCACTTGGCTCGGGGCCACTTCGCCTCCTCCTTGTTACGCTGCCGCCTATTCCCAGCGCTGACCTTGAAGACCAACAACATCCCCCGCCCGTCAGCCGGTCGACCCATTCTCTCTTTTGTACCTGGTTTTCCTTCACCTACTCTGACTGTTTGCTTCTGGACCAAAAACTTTTTGTTGTTTCTGGCATCTCGGCATAGTGAGCAGCCACCATGACTATGCTCGTTGAGCTCACTCGTCGCGCCGTCTCGCACCCGCAGACGGCGGCGTTTGTCAAGCGCGCTGTGGCTATCAAGCATGGCGACGGAGAGGAAGTCGAGCTTCCTACCTGGGGCATCGTAGTCGTCTACCTGACCGTCTTGGTTGGTAGCATTGCCTTCAGCCTCGTGAGTACTCCCCTGTTCAGCCTCGTACTGTTGAGGCCATGAATTAACAACATACCCCTAGGTATCCTACATGCTGAACCATGTCATCACGTCCCTCAGCATGGTTGAGTCCCCCATGGCCGCCATCACCGTGACGCCCTCCGCCCAGGAGCCCTCCGCCAAAGAAGGTGAGAAGGAGACACTCCTTGAAACCGGCCCCACGATCGCCCTCGTCAACCAGAAGCCCATCACCTCGTCCATCCGCGCCACGATCCGCCACCTGGTCGCCAACGCCGGCCGCTTCGCACGCTTCAGGGGATACAGAATCCACATTGTGTACTCGCTCCTTAACAGCCTCGTCTTTACCTTCTTCAACGGCGCCCTCGGTTTCTTCCCCGGCCAAGCCATCATCAGTGCCGCCCTCTCCGGCGCCATCCTCGCTCGCATCCACGCCGCTTGGACCCACAAGGTCGTCAGCATGCCCACCGAACAGTCGTTCTGCCAGCGCATTCCCAACAAGAGCCACTGGAAGACGCTGGCTCTCCCCGCTGCTGTTGCCTCCGCTATGCCGTACATCAGCATGTACCTCACCGTCGGTCTGGTCATGCTTCTCGGTTTTGATGACATGGAGCCCGTGACTACCTGTGCGCAGAAGATGGGCGTCATCGCGCGTGTCCTTGGTGTCGCCATCTTCGCCATCACTTGCACCCTTTTCCTCTGCCTCCCTGCTCTCGTCACCCGCGTTCGCATCGAAGCTTCCATTCTCCCTGACGACCAGGATACCATTGTCCCCTTTGACCGCACTTTCGGTGGCAAGGTTGTCAGCCAAATGATGGGTGGAACTGGTGTCGTGGGCTTCCTGGATGCCTGGAGGTCCTTTAACTGGGAGGCTCGTCGCCGTCTTATTAAGCTCTACACCAAGAACTTTTTCATCCTCGCCGGAATGATGGTTGTCTTTTTCCACGTTGTGGCCTTTGAGACTTTTGCTATCATGGGACCTGCCATTGGAAAGCTCATGGCGCAGATGAAGCATGATGGTATGAACGGTGGTGCGTAAAGGGTGGGAAGTGAACGAGGAAGATTGTTTTTGGTATCAGAATGCATATGTTTGGGACGGTGGTGTTAGGTTAGTGAGTTGTAGGATTACGGAGCACTCATTTTTTCTTGTTCTTTTACACATAAATATTCAAGCAGAAAATATTAGATATTGAAAATAGCAATATACAGATGAATGAGATATCATCACATCAAGTCTCCTTTCACCGAGTATACTTTTTTTTTTCATCTGCTTTTATTGTTGTTTTTTATAGTTTGTAAGAATATCTATCTCGTCACCCTAGCCCCCCATCCATCTGCACATCCCCAATTCCCCCCCATCCATAACCCATATATCCCCCTTCCCCCCTCCCCCTTCAAGACCCGACGTGGAAAATTGAAAAGAAGAAGAAGAAGAAAATTGAAGAGAAACAAACACGCTTTGCCATAGGAACTCGTAAGTTAACGCGCCAGCATGAGAAGAGTAAAACAGATAAAAAGAAGGAAAAGAAAAGAAAAGAAATTCTATACAAACGCCGTACGCTATGCCCTCTGTTTGCACTCCCCAAAAAAAATACGGGTTCTCGAAAAAGATAAAAAAACATCAAGAAGCATGACGAGATGAAGAATAAGGGAGAGAGTTGGAAACGTATAATGAAGCATAACACGTAATGAATCTCTTCATTCCTTTTTCGCTTTTCCCATTTCCCGTCATACTTTTTCCTCATTTTCCCTTTTTCAAAAGACGACTTCCGTTGTTCTCGTTTCTCTTTCTGTGTCCCTGGTTCGACTTTTTTTTTTTCATCGCTCTCTCTTCACGTTGAAAAGAAAGGAAAGGGGGGGGGTACGCCAAAATGCTGTACAGAAAAAAAAAGTCTAGGATAAGAGTAAAGAGTTGAAAGTGGAGAATGCTTGCTCTTTTTCTTGCCTCAGGGTTTGGAAAAAAAGACGGAATTTTTGATTCAAAGGGGGGGTTCCCTAATCCATGTTTCGTGCTTATTGATGCTTTCGGGGTCAACGCCAAAATGCGTTGGGGGCGAGTATGACTCGCCTGGAATGGGGAGTGGGGAAGAGTGTACCAAGTGCTGCTGTGCTTCCATTCAGCGTATGAGGATAAATTCCTGGATCCCAAGTCCACAGGTAATAATAGGTTTTGCTTGCTTCAAGCCTCATCCCCCCCCTCGTCAACCTATAGACACACTCTTCGCATGTTCATGCATCTTAACAGCCTTTTGCACTTCGTCTTCGCCTTTAACAACTGCAACTCCCACATTGATACCTCGTGATTTCTCACTGGTACTATCCATGTTGAGAATGGCATTCGCCTCGGCAAGTCGCAGTCGCTCTTTTTCGGCTTCTAGTTCCAGATTCGCTTTGTCTTGTCCAGTCACCACTCCCTTGAGAATGACTTCGAGATCGGCTAGGCGGACGGGTTTGATGAGGAAAAGGTTGATGCCACTGGAGTTTGCTTCTTGTTGTATGTCGGTGTCTGCTACACCGGTAAGAGCAATGATGGTGACCTTGGGAAGATTGTGACGAATCTCATGAGCGCGGATTTGACGAGTTGCTTCGAGTCCGTCCATGACGGGCATATTGATATCCATAAGAACAACATCGATGCGGGACTCTTCTTCGTTATTAGCGGCTATGTAGGCTTCGAGTGCCTCTAGACCGTCGACTGCGAGAGTGTGTTCGTGGCCGAGTTTGTTGACAAAGGTGCGGAGGAGGCGAAGATTGATGGGATTGTCGTCGACGCAAAGACACCGTAGAGCCCGAGTTGGCTTCGCATATTTTGACGGCTTGATAGGACTGTTGTTAACCGACCGTATCTCCGGAGCACTGCTAGCGCTGGTGAGCTGTGGTCGACCTGGTTCTATGACGTGCAACAAATCAGTGCGTTTGGGAAGCGCGCCCTCCTTGAGCTGAAAGTCAGTGACCTGAGGCAGGGCTGGATCACTGTTGGTCTTTTGTATATTTGTTTGCTTGGCGTGACGGCCAAGACATGACGAGAGAGCCTTTGCCATCTTGTGCGGGCCTACTGGCTGACTGATGCATTCAAAAATCATGCCTGGGACTGTAATGGCTGTGGTTGATTGTGCAGCTGCGGCACCTTGGCACACAACAATGACTGGCGTTGCAGTTTTCTTGCTAGGACACTGGCTGTACTGGGTGCGCAGGGTCTTTGCACAGCTTTCAGTAGCAATAATCATATCCGGTTCCCCAGTGCTGACGCCTTGTTCGAAGCGTTTCATGCCGAACCAATCGGCACAGAGGCTAACCAATGCCTTCAAACACAACTTGGAAGCATTCTTGTTCTTCAGGTCCTTGACGAAGTACTCCTCTGCTTCATTGAAACCATCAAAGCGGACCTTCAATCCCTTTGTGCGCTTGGAAACTTCCTGCAAGTGCATGTCCTTTTCACACTCTGGGGCAGTGGCGCCAAAACTTGGAGACATGCGCGACTCTTTCAGAGGACACGTGACTGTGAATTTTGTACCACGATCCTTCTCACTTCGCACCTCGACATCTCCTCCAAGAGATTCTACAATTTGCTTGACAATTGAAAGACCCAAGCCGGTACCCTGGCTCAGAGGATTCTCCTGAGCAAAAGAGTGAAAGAGTCTGTTGTTGATGTAGTCCTCGGACATGCCAATGCCAGAGTCGGTGACCGAGAACTTGAACTCGCAAGTCTCATCCTCGTCTTGAAACTTCCGCTTGACCTCGAGCTTTACCTTGATGTAACCGCCAGGCGTATACTTGAGGCTGTTTCCAAACAAATTCATAATCACACGTCGCCACGCTCCAGGCTGGGTACGGAAGACATAGTTGTCGCTCTGATTGATGTCGAGAATGATGGAGATTGGCCGACTATTGACCTTGGATGCAGTGAGCTCATATGTCTGAGCCGATGTCTTTGCATATGTGTAACCAGCAAAGACACTCTCAACCACGTCCTCTGTCAGTATGCTCATATCAACATCATTGATAAGCGTCATGATATCATTGGTATGAGCTCTGCCAGGACTGATAATGTGCTTGGCACTCTGAGTGCGCTTCTTTTGTCGTTTTGAGACGCCGCGTGTCAAGTTGTTGATCTTTGCAAAGTCGAGGACCTTGATGGGGTCAGCATTAACAGGTACGTGCCAAGGATGTTGAACTCACGTGGTTGATGGTCTCCAACAGGGTCTTGCCGCAAGTCTCGATTGTCGCAACGTGTGATACTTGTTGGTTGTCGAGAGAAGAGTCCTTGAGAAGGTCGGTCATTCCAAGTATGCCGTGCTAGAAGAATGCAATTAGCTTGACTGTTATAATGATTTGTTAGTGATGAGTACTTACCAGTGGAGAACGAAGCTCATGACTGATGGAAGAGATGAAATCGGCCTTTGCAGCGTCTGCCAACTTTGTATCTAGACGAGCAACTTCGGCCATGACAAAGTTACTGAATGCTGCTAGATAGCTCAGCTCCTGCTCAGTCGTGAAGATGCGCTTGGGCTCGGAGCTCCATATCACCGCCGTCGCAAACCATCGCTCACGGTGCGGGTCCCACAAGGGGTACAGAATGAGACTTCGCGCAGTAGGAAAGACTCTTCTCAGGTATGCCTCGTCATCCAAACTTCTCGACGACTCGGCTTTGCGAGGAGTACCAAAGGGGAATCCATCGGAAGACTCAAACTCGTCCAAGCCAGTCGAAGGAGAATTAACAGACGGGGTCAAGGGGTCCATGTCAAGATGGAAAATCTGGCCATGTGGATAGAGACGGAGCAGGTGTCGCAAAACGCTTTCGGAGATGCATTCGCCCGTGTTTGGCAAGGATTTGTTATCGCGATCAGTCTTGCAGAGAGCGGCGCCGAGAATATCACAGGGCTTGTCCGGTTCGGGAAGCTGGTCCGGATCGAAGTCATCGTCAACAAGACCGCCGAAAGTACTGATCTTGGCATCGAAGAAAGCCACGCCCTCTGCCTCTGTCGAATCGACAATCATGTTGGCAGCGCGCGTGAAATGTGCCCTCAACTCCGGGGCCGCCCTGTCCTTCTGATCGGGCTTGGGGAAGTCCTTGGTGGAGGTGCATGATGTTGTGGCGGTAATGTCGGGTCGGACGGGCTCAACGACTTGACTGGGTCCCAAGGCAGTAAGCTTACTGGTGGGTGAACTTGGCGTGTATGGTGGCTGGTGGGTAGGCGGCACACTATCGTTCGTAGGGCTACGGGCATCGATGTCAATGTGACTGTGGCCATTAAGCACAGGTGGCTCCTGTCCGGTGGGTGTGGTGGCAGCAGGACGCTGGCGTTGGGCAGCGATTGTCTCCGTCTGATCAGACCAGGACTCGGATTGATCATTGTCCCACGGATCTTGGGCCCAGTTCTCCAGCCCGCTCTTGCCCTCTGCAAACGAACCCAGACTCTTGACCATGATCTTTGCCCTACGGTGGTCTTCAGCCGCCCTCGTTCTCTCCATATGGCGCATGACGGTGCCGGCCATGCTCTTGAGAAAGGCCAATTGGTGAGGCGTCAATCCATCCCGCGGCTTCTCATCGAGAACGCAGTAGGTGCCAATGCTATGGCCCGTAGGACTGCGAATGGGGACGCCGGCATAGAAGCGCGAGTAGGGTGGGCCCTTGACAAAAGGAAAGTCGCAGAAGCGCTTATCCTTGCTTAGGTCGTTTACGACAAGCGAGGGCAGGTCACTGGGGTCGTCAAAGGGCAGCGTCGTATACTTTGGGGCGAGATTGACGGTGTAATTGCACAGGCTCTGCTCCTTGGGGAAGATGGTGGTGCCAAAGCAGAGGCGGTCATCGTCAAACTCGGGCTCGCCCGTGTCGAGGGACACGGTTTTGGTCGCTTCGGCGAGGAGGAAGCAGTCCTTGCGGTCGAAGAAGGAAATGAGGCAGCGGCGGGCATTCAGGCGCAGGGCGCCCAGCTGGGCAAAGGCCGTGAGGGCCTTATCGTCGGAGACATGGGGGGCATAATCGAGCGTGGGCGGTGGGGTGCTTGGGGGCGTCTGTGATTGCGAAGCGGGCGAGGGTGCTGGTGAAGGCGATGACTGGCGACTGGCGGGGCCGTCAGTGTGCGGGCGCTGGAAGCCCGGGCGGGGGTAGTAGCTGGGCGGGCAAGATCAGTGCCAATTCACTCTTTCACATGCACCAAACCCGGGCACGCACGTCGCAGGCAGTGGGGGCGTGGACGAACCGGTAGAAGGCCTTTTCGCGCTCCTTGGCCAGCTCGCTGTGGTCGATGCGCCTGCGTCGACGGGCTTGAGAGCGGGCGAGGGCCTGGTCGTGGGAGTCGGACATTTGGGGGGGATTGTCGAAGTGGAGGAGAGGGCCAGAGACCAGAAACCAAAGACCAGGACCAGGACCAGGACGACCAGAGGTTTTTGTGGAGAAGGGGCTTGTCCTACCCATGCGCTGCAAGCCACCCATCTGCGCGCTAGGCCCGACGATTCCCTGGGCCGTTGGGCGCTGCTTGGACCCTGACACTCTCTGCTCGACCGCCTGCCTCGTCTCTTCCGCCTGCCCCACTACCGCCCTCGCCTGCCCCTCCACCATCACCACCACCACTATCACTACCACCAATACCACCACCACCAGCCTCGCTTCGCCTCACCGGACTACTGCATTAGTACACACGAACTAATACTCCCACTACTCCACCGCCACTCCACCCACCGCTACCATTGCTGCTAACTCACCCGTCCGACTAACTCTTCCCCCTCATCCCCCTCACCTCCTCCTCCTCCTCCTCCTGTGCTCGCCACCTTATCAATCCCCCTCCTCTCCCCCTTAGGCCGCCGTCGCCGTTGCTGATCCCGCACCATGGGCCGCCTCGTCAAGCTAGCCACCTGCTCCCTCAACCAATGGGCCGTATGTCTCGTGACCCCCCGTCGACGCGGCTGCACTAACGCGCCCAGCTCGACTGGGAGGGCAACATGGAGCGCATCAAGCAGAGCATCCGTGTTGCCAAACAAAATGGCTGCACCTACCGCGCCGGCTCGGAACTCGAGGTGTGCGGCTACGGCCTACTCGACCACTTCCTCGAGCATGACAGCATCCGCCACAGCTGGGAGCAGCTGAGTCTCCTGTTGCTCGATAGATCGCTCGACGACATTATTATCGATGTCGGTATGCCAGTCCGCCAATCGGGCAACTTGTACAATGCAAGAGTCATCATCCTGTCCGGCCGCATTCTCCTCATCCGCCCAAAGATGAGCCTGGCTGCGGGCGGCAACTATCGTGAAGGCCGCTACTTCATCCCTTGGAACCGTCCCCAGCAGGTCGAGCAGTACGAACTTCTTGAGCTCTCGGAAGAGGCCTTGGCGCTGCAGGACAGCCATTTTGTCCCTTTTGGTGATGGTATCATCAATGCTCTCGACTGCAAGCTGGGGTATGAGACGTGCGAGGAGCTTTTCACTCCCATGAGCCCTCACATCGCTCTGTCCCTAGCGGGCTGCGATATTATTATCAACAGTTCCGGCTCCCACCATGAACTCCGCAAGCTCGACACTCGCATTGACCTGATCAGAGAGGCCACGGCCAAGTGCGGTGGTGGCTATCTTTATGCTAACCAGCAGGGCTGTGACGGCGACCGACTGTACTATGATGGCTGCGCCATGGTTCTCGTCAATGGTACCATTCGCGCACAGGGGTCGCAGTTTTCACTTCAAGACGTCGAGGTTGTAACTGCAACCATTGACTTGGAAGAAATTTGGTCGTACCGCACTAGCCCGTCCCGAGGCCTACAAGCAGTATCAGCCCCACGTTACCAACACTTTCGCGCCAACCTGAGGCTTTCGTCTTCGACCGCAGATTTTGACCCCGAGCACCGGCCCACCCCAGTCCAGGCACTGCGATTACACACCCCCGAGGAAGAAATTGCCTTGGGCCCTGCATGTTGGATGTGGGACTATCTGCGCCGCTCTGGCCAGGCCGGTTTCATGCTGCCTCTAAGCGGCGGCATCGATAGTTGTGCCACGGCAACCTTGGTATTCTCCATGTGTCGATTAGTCTACCAGGCTGTCTTAGACGGCAATGAACAAGTCATTGCCGATGTCCGTCGCATTGTGGGCCCCTACCACGGACAAGACTGGTTGCCAGAAAGCCCACAACAGATATGTAACGGCATACTGCACACTGTCTACATGGGAATGTCGCAACAGTCAAGCACAGAGACAAGAAGCCGTGCCAAGAGGTTAGCCGAAAACATTGGAAGTCACCACCTTGAGGCGGATATAGATGACATTTATGAGACTCAGAAAAATCTATTAACTAAAGCTACTGGTTTTACGCCGCGATTTAGGGCCCATGGTGGCCAGCCTGCAGAGAACCTAGCCTTGCAGAACATCCAGGCCCGGACGAGGCTTGTGTCTTCTTACTACTTTGCACAGATGCTGCCTACTGCTCGAGAGAGACCCAATGGTGGCAGTCTCCTGGTTCTTGCTTCAGGAAACGTCGACGAGTGTCTTCGTGGCTACCTGACCAAATATGATTGTAGCAGCGCCGACCTCAACCCTATCGGCTCCATCTCCAAGACCGATCTCAAGCGCTTCATTGCCTATGCACAAAAGGAATTTGAAATTCCTATTCTTGGCGAGTTCCTCGATGCGACACCAACCGCTGAACTCGAACCTTTGACCGAAGGGTATGCGCAGAGCGACGAGGTTGACATGGGCATGACCTACAAGGAGCTTGGCGTCTTTGGCAAATGCCGCAAGGAGATGAAGCTCGGCCCCTACGGCACCTGGCTTCGTCTTTCCCACGACTGGTCTGATGAGTACACACCCCGACAAGTTGCTGAAAAGGTCAAGCGCTTCTTTCACTACTATGCCATCAACCGTCACAAGATGACGACCATGACACCCAGCTACCACGCCGAAGCCTACTCTCCTGATGACAACCGCTTTGACCTGAGGCCCTTCCTGTATCCGCCTTTTTACAAGAATTGGAGCTTCAAGCGTATTGACGAAGAGGTGGAGCGGTTGGAAAAGAGGGCGCAAGAGAAGAAGACATGAGTTGGGTAGTATGGTCATGTATATATATGTGTCATGATTTTATGTGGAGTTGTAAAGACACTAGAATACAGTGTACTCGATAGAGATATACAGAAGGAAGTAAATGGGGTCATAGGCTCGTATCTAGACAAGTGTAAAATACATGTAACTCCATATAGATTATGAGGAGAACATGCATCTCCTTGAATCTTTAACTTTTTGATGAGAAACTCCAAATGCAAAAACCACCCCCACTATTTCCCCTCTTTATCTTGTTTGTTAATTTATCATCACGGTGAATGTCACGTGGTCTGCAGATGGCTGTATCCGGGAGTAGTTGGCCAGCACATGATACCTTTCCCACCACTCCTTGTATTACGCCCCCACTCCAGCGCACCCCCGCCCCTCTCGCTGTGACAACTAACATTCCCCTACAATTGTCGTGAAATACACTATGCTGGAATATATGCAAATACCCCTATTTTCACTACAATAAGATACATGGAACGAATGGACTTGGCGGCGCTTAGTAGCTATGTCTGCTTGTGCAGCCTTGTGCGGCTGATGAGGGATGTCAGCACTGCCCCAAGCCTAACAGCAGCCTGGCTGCTCCTTTAGCCTACAAGTATGCGAACTGCAATCTACCGGCGCAACCCATTTCTGTTACAGCACTCGCCTCATGGATGGTCTTTCGGGAGCAGCAAGCGTCATCGCAGTAATCGACATATCCGCCAAAATCGTCTCAATATGTATGCAATACTCCATAGCCGTCAATGACGCAAAGGAGGATATCGAACGTGTGCAGAAAAAGGCTGACGCCATCAACTGTACGCTGGAGAAGATCAGGCAGCTGCTTGATAGCCAGGACAAAACACGCCTCTCTGCTACTCAGAGTCTTTTCGATTCGCTTCAACAATGTCTTAATGAACTAAAAGACCTAAAGCTAAAGCTGGAGCCAGGCAAGACTCGCAGCGCTATGAGTCGATATGGCTTGCGTGCGCTCAAATGGCCGTTCAAAAGCAAGCAAGTGGACAAGATTGTTTCAAACTTGAGCGGATATGAGCAGACCTTCAACTTAGCGCTGCAAGTTGATCAGACGTAGGTCCTCACATCTGGATTTGGCATATATCAATACAGTGTCTCACTGACTGGATAGAACTACCATGATCAGCATAGACCGGAAGCTGGACCTTTCCAAACTATCTGTCGCAACAGGCGCCTGCTTCAACTCCCACGACGAAGAACACAACGCACGATGCCTACCAAACACCCGCACCCAATTACTAGACGAGATAGTGACATGGGCAAATGACAAGAATAGCAAGTGTATATTTTGGCTCAGTGGCATGGCTGGCACGGGAAAATCTACTATTGCACGGACAATTGCTCAATCATTTGCTAGCAACGGTCAGCTAGGTGCAAGCTTCTTCTTTAAGCAGGGCGAGGGTGAGCGCGGCAACGCCTCGCGATTCTTCCCCACCATCGCTACAGACCTAGCTACCTGTGAGCCAGGTATGCTACCTGGTCTTAGGGAAGCACTCGATAATGACTCAAATATATCACAGAAGACTCTGACAGATCAGTTTGAGAACCTAGTTCTGAAGCCACTCCAAAAGATACAGCAGCCTTGTTCACGGGCCTTGGCGCGTGTTATTATAATAGACGCACTAGACGAATGTGAGCAAGAAGAAGACACTCGAACGATCCTTCGGCTGCTTGCTCGAGCTAAAGATATCCATCCAATTGCGCTACGGATTGTCGTTACTAGCCGACCAGAGCTTCACATTCGCTTAGGTTTCAAAGAGATTTCAAACAGCACATACCAAGACCTTATACTTCACGAAGTACCAAGGAGCACAGTCGAGCACGACATCCGTCTCTTTCTCGAACATGAGCTCAATATAATACGTAAAGAACGCATGCTAGCTCTAGACTGGCCAACAGAACAACAGATTCTAGAACTCGTCGAGCTAGCTACACCACTTTTCATCTATGCTGCTACAGTATGTCGGTACATTGGTGGTAAAGGAAGTAACCCTACGGCTTTCCTCATCAAGGTTTTGCAGTATCGAAAAGCAAACTTCTCAAAGTTAGATCAAACCTATCTCCCTGTTCTTGATCAGCTGCTTTATGAACAGGAAGAAGACGATAAGGAAACCTGGCTTCAAAATTTTCGAGAAATTGTCGGCAGTCTTGTCCTTCTCGAAAACCCGCTCTCCGCTGTTTCGCTTAGCCACTTGCTTCAAGTTCCACAAGAAGAGGTCAAGTCTCATCTTGAATCTTTGCACTCTGTGCTCAATGTCCCCAACGATGAGAACGCACCTACCAGACTCTTACACTTGTCTTTCCGCGAATTCCTTTTCGCCCCTCAAAAACAAGGGAAAAGCCCATTCTGGATAGACCAAACGAACACACACAAGAAGCTAGCTACGCGTTGCCTTGAACGGATGTCTGGATCACATGGTCTGCATGAGAATATGTGCAACCTGTCAGGGCCTGGGGTCTTGAAAAGCGAAATCGACAAGGGGACAATCGCTAGTTGCTTGCCATCTGACCTACAGTATGCATGTTATTACTGGGTGCATCATCTCGTGCAGAGCAAGCAAACCATTGCCGACGGAGATACGATGCATGTCTTTCTCAGAAATCATTTTCTCCATTGGATAGAAGCTATGAGTCTTATGAGTGATCCGTCGAGTTGTTATCGCTTGATATGCGATCTCAAAGCGACTATAGATGTGGTAAGATCTTTACAAATGCAATTTCTTCGATGACCGACCAACACACATTGCAGCTATTTGCAACCAACATTTGGACTTTTCTCTGCGATGCTGAGCAATTTGTAGAGACGTTTTCGACAATACTGAGAAGAGCCCCTTTGCAGGTCTACTACTCAGCACTTGCATTCGCATCGGAGAGTAGTATGATACGTCAAACGTTTATGAGCAAATTACCAGAGAAGGTTCATATGGTGGCCATGAACGAAGCAGGCCAGGACGCTTCTGGTAATTTAATTGGGGGCCATTCGCGCCGGATTACAGATGTGGCCTTTTCACCAGATAGTCAGATAGTCGCATCGGCGTCTAGAGACAAAACAGTACGGCTGTGGAAGGTGGCGACAGGGAAGTGTCATAGGGTGCTCGGGGATCATTCCCATCGGTTCACTGCGGTGGCCTTTTCACCAGACGGCCAGCTGCTCGCGTCAGCGTCTGAAGATGGGATAGTATGGCTGTGGGAAGTGGCTACTGGGGTTTGTCGTATCACTCTAAACGGTCTTTCAGGATACGTTTATTTTATCCGCTTCTCACCAGATGGCCAGTCACTTTACACAAACCAAGGCGACTTTGCTTTGAATCAGACTAACAGTGTTCCAGCGGTCCCGAGCTTACCATCGCAGCCTGGCTTTTTTCGACCGAGGCAACACTGGCTACCGAACGATCAACAACCTATTCTTTTCCTCCCGGTAGGATATCGAACTCGGGCGACTGCTACATCCAACGGCACGATTTGTTTGGGACTGAAATCTGGCCGTGTAATTTTGCTTACGATTAAAGTACCCAAGATACATATTCCACCCCCCATTGTAATATTCTAGAGTCTTCTCAAGAATCAATGACTACGATTATACACAATGTATACACTCTTGGAATCTAGTAATCACATTTTATTTATTTCTGTAAAAGAATATACTCCGTGCTCTCATACTCCGTTTCCCTTCCCCCCAAACGCCCCTATCCACTCCCCAGAAGATACTCATAAAGTACACCCCAAGAAACATAACTACAACGCCTCAATCTTCGCGTGCAGAACATCCAGTCGCGAAAAGAATGCCTTGCTCTTTTCATTCAAGAGGGCGAGAGAAGAAAGAAGCGTTTGGATACGCGCGGTTTCTGCGGACGGTGCTGGTGATGGTGTGGGAGGCGGAATGGCTTCGTTGGCCACGGGTGCTGGAAGCTCCTCTTTTTGGATGGATTTGGGTTCGGGGGCAGGAGAATGCTGCTGCTCGGTGGGCTCCGAGGGCAGAGAAGCGGGGGTGTCGTGTGTGATGGGGGCGGGCGGTAGTGGTGGAGATGGTTGAGGAGATGGTAGGGGTGAAGGAGATGCTTGCATCTCTGTGACCTTTTCTTCTTCTTCTTCTTCTTTCATGGTGGTAGTGGTGGTAGTGGCAGTGTGCTCCTTTTCCTCTGCCTCGGAAACCGGCTCGACGGCTTTCTCCTGTTGCGGCTCTGGAGCCGGTGCCGGATCCGCGTCCCGCATGTCGATTTCTTCGACCTCAGCGGGAGGATTTGCTGGAGCAGGTTCAGGAAGAGGAATATCCTGCGCCATGTTGGGTTCGTCCGAGGATGAATTTGCATCCGCCATCTCCACTTCTCCGCTTCCGAGCTCTTCGTGGTCTGAAGGCGCGTCGCTGAGGTCCGAGGAATCCTCGTCGTTTGAGGATTGATATGTGGGACCGAAAGCCCCCGTGTCCATTTCTTCGCCGCTGCTTCCGTAGGAAGGGGAAGAGGGAGGAGGCTGGGACGAAGTGGTGTCCATTTCGTTGCCCGAATCCCTTTCTTCGGGTGGGGAGGGCAGGGTTGCGGACTGCGAAGATCCTGCTTCGGAGTCGCTGGAGGCTTCTCCTCCACTGGCTTGCTCGACGTCGCCGCCGGCCATGTGGAAGATGTAGTCGTCGTAATTGTCGAAGTCTTCTTCGGGACGGAGAGACATTGTGGGTGGTAGATTTTTGAAAGAGAAATTTGGGAGATTGGAGGGTTTGGTAGGAAAGAGAGGAAGTTTGTGGTGTGGATTCTAGGTTTTAAGCAGAAGTAGGGTTCCATTATTGCTATTGTACAGTGAGCTTGCTATTGTGGAGTATTTGACAGTGTAGTACACAATGAAAGGCGTTTGCTATTCTCTTGGTGAAGTGGTTTTCGTATTCCCTTGCTGTATTGTACTATTGTGCTTATACGCCTTCACGTTTCACCCCATGCGGATCGACCAAGCGTGCAGATGACTCGCTCCGCATATGACTTGCATGAAAATGGCCGTTACCTCAAGTAGCCATGCAGTAACTTGACAGCACATGATTTTTCGCCACGTGAGACGTTGCCCATTTAGTCAACAAACCGGTACCAGGAGTCAAAATCAGAGGGGTCGAGAATCATGCAGAATTGCATCATCCTCACATATCGCAGAAAAAAGTTCGCTCGATCCAGAGGGTGCGCAAAATGGGTCGATGGTACCGGGGCACGATGCTTTTGTCGAAGGATCCGTTATTCAGCGAGGCCAAAACCCCAGATATGGTCCGATATTGTACGATAGACGAAAGGATCACCGGCCAAACTGGTTTTTCCCCAGTACTTTATTTCTCCCGTCAGGAATCTGGACCGCTTGGCGGTTGGATGTGACACGAGGTATACAGGGCTGTGAGCATCGTGCGCAAAATCCTGCATAGGAATCGTGGTCTGGTAGAAGATGAAGTGGTTGTGCTATCGAGGAAGTCTAACGTTTTAGTACACTGCGCAAGCCTTCGCTCTCGTGCTGACTGATCGCCTCACTAGGAGAGGCGCCTAGAATAGTATGTGGAAAGAGAAGGAGAGCGGTGTTCTCGAGTCGGAACGTTTCCTCGCGCTCTACTAGAGGCTACCGGGTGACCTGCACGTCGGCCAATTAGCCGGCCAGATGTCAGTCGGCCCTTATGACTCCCGCCTGGATTCTAGACTCTAGACAAAAGGGTACGGTTAGCGTCCCCGAGCAATCAGCATACAGTCGGAGGGGCGTGCCATAGAACCGGCCAGAGTGCTGCAGTCGACATGAGGGTGCGCCAACCACCAATAAGACGCGTCGGCGGTGCAATAGCCCGGCACCCCAAGATTCTTCTGTCACTTCAGCCACTTCTAGAGGAGATCAGTCCGACCTTGTGGACGGCTGGCCATCGGCGCTATCGTCGACTTCGTGTGTTTGCACCATCGGCGATGCAGACAAAGAAACTACTGGGGGCCCAAAGACATCGATCGATTGCCCTCGGCTCGGGCTGACGATGCTTCAACTGCCGACACTCCGCACAGGGTGCAGGTGCAGATTTCGACATACTCTACAACGATTATTGCTGCCTCGATCAACCACATACAGTCCATCATCGCCAGTGTTTCAGCGCGCGCTGCATCGACCGTTGACCCTGACTTTCCGGACCGACTTGGGTCGCGCCACGTTGAGAACATTGGCTGCCGCCGCCGTCACCACCCTACATATGCAGACCATCTAGCACAGCGATATCTCCAATGCTGAGCAAAACGACGTGTTCCGAACACCTCAATGCCGTCTGCGCGCCAACAGCGTGTTGCTTTCTTCCCAAAGGCTGACGCAGCTGTCCTGACGTCCAGACATGCTGCCCCCGTCTTGGCCGACCGTCCTACCACGACCGCTCCTATTCTTGACCCGGAGCATGTCGATATTCCCCTTGATGCCTGGACTCCAGAGGAAATGCAGTCTGTGTATCCAGACAAAACCGATACACGTGCCCTCTCGCCCATTCCCGTCAAGGAGCAATGTCCTCGTCGGTGCCATGGCGAACGCTACCTCTTTCCTGTGCTAGCGCCGAATGAGCGGCTGAGACTGACCATGCTCTTCTACTATACTCGTGGACTACTCGAGGATCAAGAGCTCATGTCTCGTTTGCAAGAAAAGGTCCTTCTCGCCCATGAAACGGTAGGCTGGGAGTTTGTCATTACTGGTCTTTTGAATCACAACACCTATACTCGTCTAGTCACGGTAAATCTCCCGCTGGCAATCTTGCCGCGCCGCGAAAGCACATGTTCCCATACTATCAATCAAACGCCAGATGTAGGTTATTCTTGTATCTGCGCTTAAACCATGGCTAATGATGACAGAGCATATTCGCTTTGCACAATATGGTCAATGACTGGCGGTTTGAAAAGTCACCCCACGTCGAAGTAGGAGGACTGCGAGCGTATGCGGGCGTACCATTGAAGTTCGAAACCGAGTTTGGCCAACACGTGGCTTTTGGTTCTCTCTGTGTCGCCTCAAACTCTCCCGAAGAGCTGCTTTCTCCAGTCGTGCAGCAGTCCTTGATTCGTCTCGCGGATGGCATTGTTTCCGACATAGTTCACAGCGCAAGGGCCAGACGTCAGAAAGAACGTAGGCGCATGCTGGAGCTGATCTGTGATGCCCAGCGCCATTGTGATGAGCACGCCGATATGGAGCAAGAAATTCCGAAAATAGTCCAGGAAATTTACCCAGGCATGGAAGTGGTTATCAGGAAAACGACGGATGGCTGCATCTCACTTGAGAGTGGTACAACTTTTTCCACCTGCGAGCTCGAACACGGTCTTTGGGAAGATACGGATTACTTCGATTACGCCATAGAGCATCTGAATCACCTAGACATGACGGCGCCTCGTGCAGTACGTGCGATTGCAGCTCAATGCGCTAGCCAGACTGTGCCGACATTTCTTGTTGTGGCTTGCAACGACTTGAAGAGAATCTTCGACGACGTCGATTCTTGGTTCTTGCAAGCGTGTGCTGTAAGTAGCTGTGGAAAACGAACAGTGTATTTGACAACAGCTGATCCCAGTCCCCGAAACAGATGGTTTTGTGCCGTTTCTGGCAAAATCGTGCGCTTCAAGAGGCACTTGCAGTCAAGGAATCCTTCCTCCGTGGTATCACACATCAACTCCGAACTCCGATACACGGCATTCTCGGCTCTGCTGAGCTCCTGACAGAAGTTCTCAAGACGCGAAACGCTACCCCTGCATATCCGCCAGCTACGAAACCTGAAACAGAGCAGTCAGATCTTTGTACCTACGTTCAGACGATCAAGACCTCAGCCAAGGAGCTCATATCAACTGTGAACAGTTTGATAAAACTGAACCAATGGGCGGAAATTGCCCAAGCGGAGCGAGTCATGGCGCTTCACAGGGTTTCTGACATCGAGGCTGCCCTACTCCACGAGGTGTTGATGGGGTTGCCCGATGATTTATCCATCCGGCCATCTATCATGATATCACATCGCTTTCCAAAGAGCTGCGACATGCTGGTGATTGATATTCGTGTTTTCCTAGACTGCATCCAGCCGCTCGTGGCCCTTGCCGCCCAACAATCTACTGGGGGAGTCGTAGCAGTGACTTTGACAGTGGAAGAGGATTACCAATCTCTCGCAGTCGACATCTACTATACCAAACTCGACGCGGTCAGGTCTCCCTCCGAATCCATGAATGACATTTATACCAAGGATGAATTTACTACGGCTGAATCTGCTTTAGGCTTAACTATAGCGTGTAAGGCAGCAGCACTTCTCAACGGAGAGGTCGAAGTGTTGTCCTCAAAGCATGATTCAACCTCTTACTATAGAACTACTTTCAACAACCCAATCTGTGCAAGTTCTCTTTCACCACCTTTCCCGGTCAAGAATGGGATGACTCGACTCCCCCAGAAATTCTACCGCCTCGCATCTGAATCGCCAATGTCATCGCTAGGGCATCACTTCAGTCACTGGCTATCGAATACTGGCTGGCTGGAGTCCAAGGAAAAAAGTGAGAGTCTTGTGATTGTGGACTACCACTCAGACCTCGTCCAGTTTTATCGGCAATTGGCGAGTGTCAGTACGGAGCAAGTCGTTATTTGCCTTGTTCCTGAAAATGCGACTTTCATTGACTTCCAGAACAAACGAGTAAGACGGCAAGAAAATGCCGTATACATTCAGGGGCCATTCTTAACCGAGCAGTTGTTACAAGCAATGGAGCTTGTAACGGCAATTTTGGTCGAATCCAGGCGGCCAAGTTTCAAACCCAGAGAACATTCGTTTTGCACGGTTGTTACCAAGCCTAAGCTTGTATCGCCCCCTCAAGTTACCGCTGCTCAAACAGAAGAATTAGTAAAGCAAGGCTCCATATTCCCCAAGAAGACGCAAACGCAGCTTGCAGAATCGTTGCAAAGTTTAAGATTACGATCCAAGCCTTCGTTACCTGCCGGAAAACTGGTTACAAGTTCGAATAAGCCCCGGGCCTTGCTTGTTGATGACAACACGGTCAATCTCCGCTTGCTACAAATGTATTGCGACCGTCGCGGTATTCCATATCAAACAGCGAAAGATGGGCTTCAAGCGGTCAGGATCTTCTCCGAAGCAGTCATCACCAGATACGATCCTCTACTGCAGCGAGACGTATCTGCGACAGCGTTCGACCTGATTCTCATGGATCTGCAGATGCCAGAATGCGATGGAATTGATGCAACTCGGCAGATCCGGCGATTGGAGGAGGAGAACAAATGGGAAAAGAGTGTCTTGTTCATTGTCACAGGCCAAGATTCTCCCACTGACCGCAAGAATGCAGAGGAAGCTGGAGCTGATGAGTTTTTGACGAAACCACTAGGACCAAAAGTGCTCGATCAATGGGTTAAGAAATGGTATCCGGAAGCCGGGATATGAACGAAGTACGAATTTCAATTGAACGCCGATTTCTAGGACCTGCCCATTGAATTTGAGATACGCCGGGCCAGAGAAGATGCTCCGCGATCTGCTTTATGCGTCTCTTGTCAAAAGATTGAACCAGGGACAAGGACTTCCTCGCACCAATTTAACCGCTTAAAATCTAACCAACTCAACTCTGAGATGATCAAGCTAGCTGATTGTTTTTCCATTATTGGGCATTTTTGGCACACATCTGTTACCGTTATGTAGTAATTACTGTGGGTTTTATAGTTGGGAGACACAAGGGGGTTTAGTAGGCATAATACGTCTTGCCAGCACTGCATAGTCTCAAAAGACATAGCTTCGAACCGTTGGCAAACTTCGCTAACAACGCCATGCCAACCTGTTTCTGAGCTGGGAGATTTAATCGTGCCACGTGATTCTGGATTTATGTGCACTTGCAATGATTATATCCAATCTCTCGCCCACTCTCCAACCATACCACAGTATTCTGCCAAGATTAAGGACCAGCATCGGCCAATGACGCCCCTAGACACCGTTCTCTAACCTCCAACATCCTAGACATCAACCTTGTCACTCCTTCGCCATGGCACTCTCATGGGTCGCATACACCTGCATCGCGATCCTTTTAGCCTCCGTCTACATCCGCAAGCGCCTAAGCAACCACACATCCCAATTGGAACGTGATGCGCAAGCCGAGAAACCTGGTCGCCCACGCCTCAATGATGGGCTGACTGCATCTGCGCGCCAACTTCGCGGCAGACTCGTCGCTACCATTCCGCATATCACCATCACACCCGATAAAGCCCTTGAATTCGAGAAGTCGCTTAATGCGTACTGGGACCAGAAAGCACGTGAGGTCCAACCCTCGTGTGTGTTGCGGCCACGTAATGTATGGGAGTTGGCACAGGCCGTTAAGATACTCCGGCAAGAATTCGACCGACGGGTTCAGCGAAGTGGGGACTCGAAAGACGATCTAGAACCCGGTTTTGCGGTGCGAGGGGGAGGTCATAGTCCTGTTGGTGGTGCATCGAGCATTCAAGGTGGGGTACTTATTGATCTTAGTCTATTTGACAAGGTTGTCCTGGCGGAAGATAAAAAGAGTGTGGGTATTGGTGCCGGATGCCGATGGATCGATGTTTATGCAGCGCTAGAAAGAGATGGGCTTGCGGTTGTGGGAGGGAGGAATTCCGCTGTGGGTGTAGCGGGATTGACGCTTGGAGGGGGGCTATCGTTTTTCTCTCCTCGGTATGGGTTTGTGTGCAGCAATGTTGTTGAGTATGAAGTTATTCTCGCGGATGGATCGGTTGTCACGGCGGATCAGCACAATAATTCGGATCTTTGGCGTGCACTGAAAGGTGGAGGAAACAACTTCGGTATCGTTACGCGATTCACTGTTCGTACATTTCCGTGTACGAATGTTTGGAGCGGATTCGTCTACTACTCTTCTTGGAAACACCCAGAAATCCTTTCTGCATTCCATTCCTTTGTCGCGCGCACCACATCCGGCGAAGCAAACCGCAGCTTCGATCCGCACGCCACTGGCCCGCTGGTTTGCTTTACCTATCTCCAGTCCTACGGCATCCAAGGCATCGCCGTGAACCTCGTACATACATCACCAGATCCCAAGGTAAAAGGCTGGCCAAGCACTTGGCTCAGTTCCGGATTCAAAAGCACATTTCGGTTCTGGAGCACGTGTAAAGTGTGGACGTTGAGTGAAGCGACGGATGAATTGAATGCATTAAATCCACCGCAGCGGCGTCAAGAATTCGCTACTACGACGATTCAAAACGACCTGGAAACATTGACGGTGACACGTGCGGCGTATGTCAATGCTATCCAGAAAATCCGTCAACATAACATCAAGGGCATGACTTGGACACTCGTGCTTCAGCCACTACTTCCTACCTGGACATGCAAGGGCGACGCTAACCTCATGGGACTTGACGATAAGGACAGAGAAGCCTTAGTCATTGTAAGTTTTACAGTAAACTGGGCATTGGGCAAAGACGATGAGGTTGTGCAAGACATCACAAGAGCAGCGATTGAGCAGATAGATGCGTATGCCCTGAAAAGGGGGACGCAGCATAAATACCGGTACATGAACTACTGTGCAAAATGGCAGAACCCATTCGATGGGTACGGAGACGAAAACCTGAAATCTCTTCACCGCGTTAGAAGAGAAGTTGATCCAGAGGGCTTATTCCAACGTGGATGTATCGGAGGATTTAAACTTGGCATGTAAAGCCAACACCATGTAGTATTCCCGTAGTAAAGCTATTTCACCACACTCGATACCCGAGACTACATGCACTTCACTCTCGCTATCCTTGTACCAAACCAATTTATGATACTTAACAAGTGCCATTAGCACAGCACGTAGGCGAATCCGGCGCACACCCATTCTCAGTACAATTGCACGTATCCGTCTGCGCATCCTCTTCGGGATCCGAATCTGGCCAGTCTTGGTTCGTGGGGTCGTCGTCGCGCTCATCGCGGGGGCCCGAGAAGCTTCTGCCGCAGAGTTCGGTGAAGGCAATGTGCTATTTTTTCGTAAGAAAAAAAAACATTCGCAAAACGAAAGGAGATGGAGGGGAGAGGGAAGAAAGGGGAAACTTACGAGTGCATACCACACATATGTATCTGCGTTTGTGAGGGTTTTGGCGCGTTCGTTTACGTCGTCGTTTACGGCGAGGGCGTGGCATTCTGTTGGGTGGAGAGAGAGGGGATATTAGTGTATTGGGACATGGAAAGCAAGGGTGAGGTTCTTACGGAAAGCGTCGTATTTCCAGTCTGTAATTTGCGTGCCGAGGGCTTCTTGGCCGATTTTGGGGTAGTGCCTGTGGTGTTGGGAAAGACTGCGTTAGCAACAACCTCTCTTTGTTTCTAAAGGAGAATGAAAGGAATATGGGCGAGGGGGGAATGGACATACATAAACTCATGCAGCACATTCGATCCGATAAAGTTCTTCGACCACGTCGCAGTGCTAACCTGGCCACTAAGCTTGCTGCAGTCATTGGCGAGTAGAGCAGCGAGATTGTCTCTGCTCCAGACTTTGTCGCAGAAATGCATGCCGGGCCTCTTGTCGCTGTGGCGCTTGAAATAAGCAGTCCCCGTCTTGCCATCCTGTTGCAACGAGCAGAATGGAGTTTGGCCATCAGCATTAGGCGCCTGACCTGCTTTCGGCTTCCAGTAATCCGTGTCGTCGACGATGACGTCGCCGTTGACGTCGGCGCCTGTGCCGTCGGTGTTTTCGCCAACAAAGTTCTTGTAGACTTGTCTAACCTGCTCGCGGCCGTTGGCGTCGGAGTGTTGGTCGCCGAACCAATATTCGAGCTTGTCGAGGTGCTGTTCGTCGTCCATTTTCTCGAGCGTTTTGGCGGCGATGGTGATGGCGTCTTTGAGGCCTTGGGTCAGTTTGTCTTTGTGGTCTTGGTCGGAGACTGCGTCGAGGTTGTACAGGGCGCGCTTGACGGCCCAGGCGGAGTTCAGACTGGTGAACTGGAAGCCTCTAAAGGGAGGTTAGCAGATGGATCTTGTTTTTCGTCCTCGATAATGGGAAGTGTTTAGGTATGCGGAGATGATGGGGGATGTCGCTTACCCACGGGGATGGGCTTGAACAATTGCACAAGCAGCCGCTGCTACAAGCAGTTGTTTACTGAAGCCAACCATGACGAAGTTGAACAGGGGAAAGAGGGTTGTATCTACTGAATCGATCTTATGAATGTGTGAAGTGATGCTCAAACAATGTTGGGCTGGACGGGTTTAAATACACAGAGTAGTCTCAGCACGACGATAGTATCTCTTCCCATTCTGGAGGTACACATCCTGGATTCTATCGAAGGAATCGATGCTGGTAGCACGAATGGCCCCATGTTTCAAGGCTGAGTAGTATCTAAAAGATACAACGGAGGTCTCTTGACCTAAGATTGTAGGAGGCCTGATAATAGTACGCTCAAAGCTATGGAGACGTTCGCTCTATTTGGACAATGCCATGCAATTCATCCCTGAAAGAGTATCAGGCGACCAGGAAGTGACTCGGGGTCTTCCGAGGAGAGACATCCACTGACGTAGGTACACTGTTCTCTGAATCGTATCACATTTTGAACACAGAAATCGAGATGCGAGCTATAGATCAAGGATGTATGTGAACTTTGTTTGAGGTTTCGGTGTCCGAAACTGAAGAAACGGAGAGGAATATATCTATCACATCCATAAGCATAATGAATTAGGGCTTTAGGCAGGCTGACTCGCGCTACAGTCCATTCTGTACGGATTCCACTGCTTGTTCATAAAGTTGTTAACCAGCGAGCATAGATCTAAAATCTGGTTATCAGCATTAGCTATTTACAATTACCAGGTATATTTGCATCCACAAGTATAGTACTGTCAAGCAGCTTTACTGCTAAGAAAATATAAACAATATTTAGGTTGGGTGGCTGAAGAATGGCTGGAGACTCCGCCTTCCAAGAGCAGTGTCGATCCTGTGTGGGGTTCAACTGTAACCTGTGGCTGTGAAGGAAGCGCAAACATTTCCCATCATCTATAAATAGTGACTTCTGACGAACATAATTGAGGAGCTGCGATTGGACACCGAGCCATTATTCACTTCTAATATTGCCAAAAGGCTTGTTTGGGTGACTTTGACTCGAGCAGAGCACACGCGGCAAGAACTCCCGTCATTCTTACACATGGTATTGTGATTGTGGAGACCAAAATACGATGTTGGTGTATGCGTATGGGGCGAAGAAGGAATCTATGAAGGAGTGGTGTGTCATGAAAACCCGTTTTCTGCAATTATTAGGCCAACCTATGTCACGTGAATGGTTGAGATCTGCGAGGAAATAAGCCCCGAATCAGGTGAGAACGACTGTCTGCCTTGCGCCTCGTTTCAGCCTACTACAAAGGGGCCAGAAAGGTTCCTACCTCAACGCGATTGGCCAAGCTGAAAGTTGCACATGACGTAGCTCGCAAATAAGGCGACTCTCGCGTAACTCTACCACATCAGGTTGTTGCGACCAGATCAGAACCTAGTTTTATTTGCTTCGTACGATACTAAGGAGTAAGTGATCTCGAGTAAGTTCGTACATCACTCAAACCGACCTGCATCTTTCGATCAAACACCTGAATACTTCACAACATGGCCAACACCAGCCCAACCATATCGTTGTATCTAAACGGCAACCTTTCCTTCCAACTTGGCCACAAGGGCACCTCAGGCACCACACCTACTCTTCAGGTCCAGATGCACGATGCCTCGCATGCTGCTACGCTAGTCATCCCGGGTTATCAATCATCGACCAATACCTTCAACCCTCTCCTCGCCTTACAAGGAGGCCTTTTTGATCTCTTCGACATGGACACTGATTCGCAAATCTCGGTACCTTCTAGCGATGAGGAACCTGGTAGACTAGTCGTCGAAGCTAGAGCGCGAAACCGATGGTTTGATCTCAAGATCGACGTGTGTGAACACTTTTGGACACAACTTCTCACGCCGGGTCATAGCTATGAGATACGCTGGCGGAATGATGGAAACTTCCCATGGGCATACCGCGGAGATAGTCATCAAGGGTCTCCCGAGCGTCTGCCAGTGCGACTCCTGCCACGACCTATCAAGCTCAATGTGTTTGACGATGCTGCATCACCACTGCAGCTTTCGATCTTACTACAACCAACGGCAAATACTTGCTATCTAAGTGGCGAACCCCGCTTCGGTTTCAAACTCCAAGTCGTGTCGCATGATGAGAAGACCATCACAGTGTGCCTGCACAAGACGCCACTCAGAGAGCTTCACGGATTGGGGGAAATCGCACACGTCGTTGATGAGGACGGCGAAGAGGTAGATTGGCCGTACGGTATAGGTTGTTTCGAGGGCAGTGATCCTTTCCCTTCAGACGATATGTTCGAGGAGCTTAAACCCAACGTGCCATATGAGAAGACGTTTTGGCTTGAAAAGTTGGATAGAGAGACTTCAAATGGAGGGGAGCTAGAGGAGCTAGAAAGCGGCCAATCATATACTGGGAAAGTCAGCAAGACACTGCTCGGGGCTTTTTCGAAGTGGAGGCGAGGAACAAAGGACGAGCTGTTGGCGGGCGACGAGAAAGACAAGGAAGCAAGATGGAGAGGGAGCAGTGAGCAGATGCTTCTTGACATCTCCGATCCGTTCAAGTTCAAAGCGATCTAGACTGCGGAGGTCACACATGATGCAACTACTACTAGATGAAAATTCAAGGTGTACTACATTTTTCCAACCGTGCACTCACTTGAACATTTAGCGCATGAACGGACGCAATGTTGGTTGTTGGGGTAGACAACCAGAATACCAGGCTCTCTCATGATGTTTTTCCACGAGACTAGAGCTAATGGGGTGGGTCTTGCGTCGTGCAACGTCGAGGGAAAAAGCAATTTTCACGTGCATTGGTGGCGCACGTCTGCCGCTCTCGCCCGCACATGCAGCCACAGGTCATGTCCGCGCTGATGCTCACCACTAGTTGTGCTTGAGTAGTAGCAACTGCCGACAACTCCTCGTATTCTGTACATACTTTCACCTTTGACAAGCCACTGGATTTTCTCTAAAGGATCTGATTATTGAAGTATATTTTTTGTGAACCTTTTCACACCGAAGGCGCGCCGGCGCTTGCACAGCCGCGGCTCGGCCTTACAAGGTAGAGTCTCGGGCGGTCTTTTCTAATATAGGATTTCTATGTACATGTTTGCTTCACGGCAAGACGGCGTTATTCCTAGAGACCTTTTGCCGATGAACGGAGAAGGATATCCATAGGTCATCGAATGAGCAAAATGGGCAGTGTGGTCGCCATCCTCTTCACTAAACCGGAAAGTTACCCTGGCCGCAAGCCCACGGGGTCCGCGTGCATCCGGATCGTGTTGACGTGGATGGGGGCTAGCTGAAGGATGAGGGTGTAAAGGTATTGTTATCTCCATGCCATGAATTCAAGCCAGTAAGAGGCTTCAGTGGCTTAGAGCAAGAATTTATACATACACAGCTGCTGCTACGGAGTCAGCGATCGTCAGACTAGATGCGGGAAAGCCGCCATTTGGTTGACCAGCCATCCTGACTGCGCCGATCCTGTTGGCATGTCGAGACGAGGACTACCGAACAAAGGCCGTAGGTGTTGCGAGGGCTGTCGCTGCTCATTCATCTCGTGGCGACGGGACTGCTGCATGGACACGCAATAACGGCCCACGTAGTAGCTTCCTCTTAACCCATTCGGACGGGTCAATATCGTGATGGCGGCACACCCACCATAGAAAGCCCGGACATGAGGAGGGGGTGGGAGCAATGAATGTGTGAAGGACTCAAGACGGAAAAGATGTGTAGATCCAAGTCCACAATTGTGTCTCGAGTTGGCAGGAATCTGCGAGTGGGTGTGAACCTGGGGACTGTGTGTATCATAGTCGCGCGTCTAGCTCATGAGAAGCCAACACGTCCCTCTGCGTCGCGCGAAGTGGGTGGCATCACTCGATAGGAAATAGAGTTTGAACCAAGAGCCGCATGTTCTAGAGTGTCCACACTAAAGCGGGGTAGTGATACCTTGGACGGCAGAGCAACTGGAGGCACACAAGTCATTGTACGAGGCCGTGCTATCACGTGGCCGGCAGTCGACTTCACCGACTATTCCAACGACGGGGATGGAGCTGTGAATGGATGGGAAGATTTTCAGCTCCGGCCTAGGGCCTGTATATGTGGGACCGAAGGCATGGCTTGCACTCGGAGCATACGGCCGTTGCAATGCACAGCAAGCGTACCGAAGAGATCGCCTGTTGATGTTGATGTGCTGACAGACATAGATACGTAGGGGAAGCGCAGAAGACGCTGAGTGGGATGCGTGGAGGGCAGGACGTGGGCGTGATAGCACCAGGCAGAGCCAGCCCAGGGCTCCGGACCGGCGCAGGTTGAGGAATCAAAGTGGCTGGTCTTGCCTAGTGATGCTTGATGCGAACTAGTGGATATTGCGGGATTTGCAGATCGTCAGAGGGATGCAGTTTTAGCGGAGTTGGAGTGGGCATTCGATCTGCTATCACTACACGTGTCTGGCTGGGACCCTGCCAAGCCGCTAAGCTCAAGTGGCTGACTCGACATCCTACATCGTACTACCCGCACTGCGCAGGCCCTGCACCAGTAGCTACAACCACAACAAACAGCATCGTGGACCCGACCTCGGCGACGGACATGCTCTCTCTGTCCTCCTATTGCACGGCAAACCCCCAGCCAACAACTAGTCCACCTAGCAGGATGCTCCCCACGCCGCTAGCTTGCACGCTTCCGCCTACAGTATCCAACCACGCTAATCCAAGCCACTTCCGGACGCCCAGGACTTTCAATCTACTCGCGTACACGGCTGCCGCCGTTTGTGACGCCCCAAGAAGCACGACTTCGGGTTGTTGATCGAGCGCTATGCTGATGCTGCACGGCCAGCGCAGCACGCACACTGCTACTCCTCAAGCCTCATTTGGCCTCCACTTGCCACTGGTGGATGCTTACCCAGCAACGCCCAAGTGAGTAAGCCGAACAAGAATTTCCAGAAATGCACCGTCCATATGCACATCCATCTGGCGTGGCACACCAGCAGGATCGGGCGACTACTGCCGCCTACCTACGCCTGTTTGTGACAAGCGAGCCGTGCCGAACGGGTGCAAGCAAATGCCTGGCTTGAGGCCGCTACTTTGCAGCTCGTCACTTTGCCGAGCGACCATCGCCGAAGACGACGACGATTAAACTACGCAGCGGGGTGCGGTGTGGAGACTCGCCACTGCCTCCGCTGGCAGTTACATCGTCCTTTGCTTCGGTGCGCGACTGCAGTCAAGTTAGCCCAAAGCCACACACTGGACTCATCAGAACCGAGCCCGACATCGATCGGGGTATCCGCTTAGATTCTGCCATACCCTGTCCTGACACTCTTCTACATTCGTACGTAAAAAGTCGACTGGCAAGGCTTCCAGCCACAATCAGTGCGTGCATGGTGTGCCGTAGTGTTCCGCCTTGGATACGAACCCACCACCTCGGCCGGCGCATCTCCTGTATTCGGAAGCCAGTGCCATCCATGAACGCAGTACTATTCAAGCCACTTAGCCGAAGGAACAGCAAGTTGGGCCTGGGCGTCATGTTGACGAGTGTAGAAAATACCGAGGAAAAGTCACCAGTCATGCACGAGCTACGTATTGGAAAAAATATGGTAGGTATGTGTAAGTGTGTATGCGCAATACAACTTCTCCACAGGATCGACCAGCTGTCCACACTTCCGGAAGAGTTTCCCGCTATTCCATCGTCTGCTTGTGTTATTTCATGCATAGCTTTGCAAAGTTAATCTATGAGATGCATCAGTAACGAGCTTTTAAATATCTCAGTAGCTAGTTTCTAGGTTGGCAGTTCACCGTTATCGAACTCATTAAAAACCCGGCACGAACAGGCAGTTTGACGATACAACGATGGACATGGACTCAATTCTTCTCGCATGCGCACATGACAATCCAACGAGTCCATTCGTCTGCTCGATGATCGTCGAGCCTAATGTGGTATTGCGGCATGGCGGCAGCATCACGGTGTTGTCGTGCAGACTGCAGGTGATGACTGTCGGGTCGCCATACCCAGGCTTGACGACCCCACTTCAAGCCGAGAGCAGCCACCTCTACATGTACTTGTACTGATGTGTGAGCCGGACGGGAAGCCCAACGAATAAGCACCAGGTTGGTGCAAGCGGTGGGGTCATAGAGACGCACTGATGAAGAACGCAACACTCGAGAGCCGAGACGCAGCCACACTGCGTTTGTCGAGAATGACTAGACCACAATCCGGTAATCGATATTTTTGCTACATAATGTATTTTCCTGATGCCTTGGGCCAATAGGTGCATATCGCACCGTTTTTTGACATGCGCTACCACACCGCATCACCCAGGTGCTAAGCCTGCGGCACGATCACGCGTTTTTAACAGACGTTATCCCTCTAGTCTACCAGGCTTTTAAGTACCTCCTTGTACCCCGAATATCATTCCATTGCGTGCCGGTAACATGCAGGAGCCAAACATGTTTCACAATATGTCTGGTCTTTCTCTCGAAGACCAGACCCTGGTCTCTAAATTTGGATACGGCCCAAGACTCACTGTCCCATCCGAGACAGTACACGAAGCCTTCGAGCGCATTGTTGACGAGCATCCTACCGTTGTGGCCGCGGTTCATCAAGGTCAAAGCATTACTTACCTACAGCTGGACCTCGCTGCCAACCGTCTCGCACATCATCTCATTAGCTCAGGCCTTCGGCCAAGACAACGAGTATGTCTCGTCGTTCAGAGATCGATAGAGATGCTTATCGGCTTCCTGGCGATCCTGAAAGCTGGTTGTCAGTATGTTCCAATCGACGGGGGTGTTGCTTCCGACCAGGCCCTGCAACACATCTTCGAAGATACCGAGGCGAGGTTCATCCTGTGCCTTCCAAGGTATTGGGATAAGGTCAAGCAGTTCGCGAGCCCAGAAGCTATCATTCTGGAATTGAACATGAACACTGGAGCCTTCTACTCTCCCTCGAGACCGGGTGTTCAGGTCACCGCGGAAGATGGTCTCTACGCTATGTACACATCAGGTAAGTAATCTCATAGGTCCGGAATCGATCACTCGCTAATATTCATCAAAGGGAGCACTGGCGTCCCTAAAGGCGTCGATGTCAAACACGGCACCAAGACTAGCGCTCTCCTTTCAGAGCCGGGAAAGTTGGGAATCACAGTTGGCTCAAAGGTTGGACAGGTCTTGAGCATCTCTTTTGCTATGGGTAAGTTACTCACGGCTTAAGAAAAGGTCCCGTTATTCTAAACGGAGTATAGGAGCATGGGAGATGTTGGCCTCTTTGATGAACGGAGGAACATTATACCTCCGAGGATCTGACTGGGAGGTGACGTTGAAACAGGTCGGTGCAGACAGTTACTACAATTAGCCAACACTCAACTAACTAGCTTTGCAGATCGACACGTTAATATGCACCCCATCCATCCTGTCCAAGTACGACCAACAAAGCTTTCCGAACATCAAAGTGCTCGCCGTAGCAGGCGAGGCGTGTCCGCAGGCGTGAGTACATCACACGTGCTAGAAACAGCGAGTATACTAACACATCCTTAGTCTCGCTGATGACTGGGCCCAAGGCAGATCATTCTTTAACCTGCTTGGCTCCACTGAGACATTTTTGCTGTCTTCACATCAACATGTCAAAGGCGAGCACTTGTCCATCGGCCGGCCGCTACCAAATGTGTCATGTTACGTCCTTGATGATAGAGGAGAGCCCGTGCCAGTGGGGCAAAAAGGAACACTGTGGGTTGGGGGCAGGGGTATAGCAAAAGGCTACATCAACTTGCCCTTGACTACCGCAGAGAAGTTCCAGCTCGATAAATTCGCCAATGATGGGTGAGTGGGATGTCGGCTATGTTGGAATGTGCTGACAAGTATGCAGTTCCGTGATGTACAACTTTGGCAACATTGTTTGCTGGAGAGCCGACGGCTCGTTAGACTCATTTGGACGAATGGATGACCAAGTAAAGATCAAGGTTTGTTCAAGACTACAACGATGTCACCAGGAATCTTGCTGACCTTTCTAGGGCTTCCGTGTCGAACTCGACGGTGTTACTTCCGTTATCGAGGTAAGGATCTCTTGTCCCGGATCAATACCACTAGCTAACAATCTTCAGCAATTTTCTGGAGTCACTCGAGGTGCATCTTTGGTCATCGATGGCGTCCTTCATGGCTTCTACGCATCTTCCATCCCTGTCGACGAGCGAGAACTCGATGCGTTCCTCCGAAAACAACTACCTTACTATTCCGTGCCCGAACGGTGGTTTCGCGTTGACGACGTGCCGTTGAACGCTAACGGAAAAGTCGACAAGGCGCAACTTACAGCGCTGGCTGCAGCAACAAGTTCTCCCAAGGCAGAAGTCGAACCCACAAAGAAGGGGCATATGCGAATGGACTCAGGCGTTGATGTCTCAGATGAGCCTAGGAAGGTCGAAGCTCCCCTTGCCGCCATCATACATGACAGCCCGCGGGCTTCATCCCGCGATATGGATCTCGAAAAGGGCTTCATAACTAAGAGCGTTGAGCGTCGTTCGGGAACCGAAAGCCCGGAGCCATACGAGACACTAACTGCGTTGCCGCAACCCACATTGTCGAGAACACACGCCTGGGTACGACATCGCGGCTTGATTGCATATCGCTGGTTACTCCTTCCCGTCGTCCTCACCAACATCGGAGTCGCATGCTGGCTTCTTTACGACAACATCAAGCAACATACATACCCACTCTCCGCGGTCGCAAACGCAACTGCGGCGAACCTCTGCGCTGCGATCTTGATCCGATCAGAGCCAGTCATCAACCTGTTGTTCAAAGTTTTTTCATCGGTCCCCACATGGATGCCTCTTTGGATACGGTGCATATGCGCAAATGTTTTCCACATTGGTGGTATCCACGTGGGATGCGCTATTGCTGCGCTTATATGGTTCGTCATATTCGTCATCGGTGCGAGCTTGGAGATGGCAAAGAGTGTGGATGAAAGAGCCATCTCAGTAGCGCCGGCGGTACTGTCCTACTTCATCATGTCCTTGCTTCTTACAATGACCGCGATGTCGCACCCGTATCTCCGGAACCGGTACCACGATTTATGGGAAGGCTTGCATCGGTTTGGTGGATGGACAGTACTCATCCTCTACTGGGTGCTCATCGGACTGTCTACCGCAGATATGGGTCATCAAATAGGATACTCGACGTCAGAGGCCTACCTCAGGAATCCGTCGCTATGGCTCATCGCAATCGCTACCTGCGC